AGTAGTGACGAGGTCAGGTGAGGCCCTACTGGAATATAATAATGGCATGGTAAAATGTTTATCAATATAGTAAAATAAAATGACATTGGAAATGAATCAAATGGTATGTCACATTTAATGACACCAAATAATTGCAAATAATTATCTCGTGGAATCAAAACAGAATTTCCTTCAACTTTATGAAAATCACAACAATTAATCGAAGGCAACTATGGCCATAAATCAATATCAACAAGGGTACTACCGATGTACCGCCTCGTAGTCCCAAATTATAAATAATTTCACAATATCTCATTTTCTTATTTCACCGCGGGAGCCTTCACAATTTATTTAAAGAAAATATTTTTTCCCGAAATTGCATCTCGCGTTTTAGCCACCCTTATTACACTGCATGACTTCTAGTAGTCACCCCTACTAGCCATGCATATCAAGCCACCCTTATCTCACCGCATGCGTTTCAATACCCAGACCTTATACCAGCGCATGCGTATTAATATCACAATATATCATAATTTGCACCTCAAGTGCCCAATATTTCAATTTTCCACAATAAATCAACAACAATATTTTTCAATAATAAAGAGCTCACAGCTCATGCAAGAATAATCCAACAATAATATTATTTCCATAATAAAGAGCTCACGGCTCCATCACAATGAGTACCCAAAAAAAAAACTTACGAAAATATTCAGGAGTAAATAATTTAGGAAAATAATATTTCAAATTTTTAATACGTTACTTCAATATCAAATTTAGAAATGTCAAATACTTCATATTAATAATATTTAATTTAAAAAAAATTAACCTACAAATAATGCACAGTATAAAAGAAATCAAGTTTCAATTAAACAGGTAAAACAATTAGCAGGAAAAGGTCAAACAAATTTAAAATATATATCACAGATCAATGATGAAGAATATAACAAGATAAAATAATTTAATAAATGCGCAACAATGATCTACACAATTTAAAAATATAATCTTTCACATTTAGCCCATGTATACACTCGTCACCTCATGTACACGACTTTCAACACATTTCAATAATCACATTAATATCAATTCTAGGGAAAATTTCCCCCACATAAGGTTAGACAAGTCACTTACCTCGACTTGCTCCAATTTAATCAAGTATTATGCTTTTTCCTCGATTTTTCGACTCCGATCGACTCGTATCTAGTCATAATTAATTCGATACAGTCAACAAAAATTATAGAAATCAATTATATAAGAAAATATTACATTTGTTTCGATAAAATCCGAAATTAACTCAAAATTTACATCTCGGAATCCGGCTAAAGTTACGAAATATGAACGCCCATTCAACCACGAGGCTAACCATACAAAAATGACTAAATTCCAATAACGATTCGACCCTCAAATCCACAAATCTATCAAAGAGGGTTTTCAAATTTTCCAACTTAAATCACCAATTAAATGTTAAAAACAGTGACAGATTCGGGTAATCTAACCAAGATTGAGTTAAGAATACTTACCCCAATATTTTTTCTTGAAGATATATCAAAAATCGCCTCTGTTCAAGCTCCAAGTTGTTAAAAATGGCGAATGGGACGAAGCCCCCCTGATTTTATAACTTACAGATCTGTCCAGGGTGACCTCGATCATGGTATCCGATCCTGGATCTCGATCATGGGATCCGATCCTGGACCTCGATCATAGGAGTCCGATCATGGGGAGTCCGATTAAAGGGAGTCCGATCATGGACCTCGGTCATGGCCTTCGATCATAGCTTCGATCATGGCCCTCGACCCTGGGGATCGATCACAGTCATCAATCCTGGCTATCGATCACGGCTTCGATCTTTATGGCCTTCGATCACTGGCCTTGGTCATAGCCCTCGATTCTGGGCCTTTGATCATTGGCCTTTGAGCTTGCCTTAGATCATGGATCTCGAGCCTGCCTTCGATCCTCGGCTCGATTTCTGGGGGCTCGATTGCACAGCAGGAGAAAATTTGCAGCAGCTTTTGCAGCAGCTATTTAAGTCCCATTTTTGATCCGTTAACCATCCGAAACTCACTCGAGGCCCTCGGGACCTCAACCCAATACACCAACAAGTCCTAAAATATCATAAAAACTTATTTGAAACCTCAAATCACATCAAACAACGCTAAAATCACGAATCACACGTAGATTCAAGCCTAATGAATTTTGAAACTTTCAAGTTCTACAAACAACACCGGAACCTCTCAAATCAAGTCCGATTGACCTCAAATTTTGTACGCAGGTCATAAATGACATAACGGAGTTATGAAAATTTTCTTTATTGGATTTCGACCCTGATATCAAAAAGTTAACCCCTCGGTCAAACTTCCCAAAAATTTAACTTTCGGCATTTCGAGCCGTATTCCACTACGGACTTCCAAATAAAATTTCGATCACGCTCCTAAGTCCAAAATCACCATACGGAGCTGTTGGAATCATTAAAATTTTATTCCGGGGTCATTTGCGCATAATTCGATATCCGGTCACTATTTGAACTTAAATTTTAAATTTTCTTATCAAAATTCCATATCTCGGGCTAGGGACCTCGGAATTTGATTCCGGGCATACGCCCAAGTCCCAATTTATGATACGGACCTACAAGAACTGTTAAAATACTGATCCGATTCCGTTTACTCAAAATGTTGACCAAAGTTAACTCAATTATGTTTTAAACATCTAATTCACATTTTAATCCATTTTTCACCTAAAAACCTTTTGAAATTTTTTTACGGACTGCACACGCAAGTCGAGTAATGGTAAATAGTGCTTAGATCACATAATTAATTATTAAATTTAAAGATGACATTTTGAGTCATCACAGGTTGATCCTATCCCAATAAGACGAGCTACTATTTTACATGGAGAACCTTGTGTCAAATTTACAGAAGCCGAAGTTGATCGCATGAATATAATTGAAGGGTTACAATATGCAGTTGTCGGCAAATTGTGATATGGTTGGCCAGAACATCAGGAGTTACGTAGAATCATCCCAAGTCAATGTGGAATCAAAGTAGAATGTAGTATTGGCTTCCTCAGAGACCGACGTGTCTTAATTAGATTGACACTATGGGAAGATTTTATTAATTTTAAGTCCAAAAAGGCCTACTATGTTAAAGCAAAAGATGGGTATGAGTACCAATTGCGAACTCTGATTTATGATGCAAAATTCAAAGCTGGAGAAGAAATACCAATGTCTATGGCGTGGATTTCGTTTCCAAGTTTACTGCCAACTCTTTTTGTCAAAGAAAGTTTATTCTCTTTAGCTTCAGCAGTGGGGAAACCTCTACACTTGGATATAGCCACCATTAATACGACGAGACCCAGCTGTGCGAGGGTTAAGGTTCTTGTTGATCTGTTAGCCGAGTTACCTCAAAAAGTTTGAATGGATATTGTGAATGAGACGACTGGCGAGATAAGGTCTGAGTGGGCTAAAATACAATACGATGAGCTACCTAAGTATTGCAAGGAATGTAAAATACAAGGGCATGATCAAGTTGAATGCTGGCATATTCACCTAGAATTAATGAAACACATTGGGAAAGGAAAAAAAGCTGCACAAACTGCTCAAGGTAGAGAAGGTGCTGAGCAAAATTAAAGGAAGGTGAAAAGTACCAACCATCAAATTGAGATCTTATCAAGTGGTAAGGTTGTTGGTAATGTAGGGGAGCAATGGAAAGAAGTAAGAGATAATCGAATAAAAAATGGTACAAAGCAGGTGGAGGATCATGGGAAGACTTCCAGGGAAATTGAAGTTGTTCGATCAATAAGGGAAACAACTACATCTGACATAGAACTAGTCCAAGATGTTCAAATAGCTAACAAATATGCAGCACTTGAGATGAAAGAAAGTGAGCTAGATGAGAACAACCACTTGGCTTTGAGAAAAAATGATACTAGTATTCGAAGTCCAAAGCCTTCTCCTAAGTCCAGAAATAATCCAAATACTGTGGCAGCAACGGTTATTCCAAATACAACTAAGATTGTTATAACTAAGGGAAGGCAAAATACAACTTCAAAAAGCAAAGGGAGCATTGGAGAAGGTTTAAAAGAGACAACTGCACAATGGGTGAATAGAACATTTAGTGGAAACTTAGGTACCACTAATAAATTCTTTCAAGAAAGTCACTCGCATACTATAGATACTCATAATATAGTTGAGCTACCTAAGGAGAAAGACAAAAACAAATTGAGAGAATCTGATGCATCAAAAAAGAATACTGACAGTGTCAACCAGGAACAAAAAGGAACCTACCTGAGTCAATTCAACAAGCCTTCTCTCGCTGTACTTGAGGAAGAGGAATCCAGGTACATGCGTTATGGAAATGAATTTGATTACAATAGAGGTGACTTAGAAGAAGATGAACGATTCATGATGTTGGATCTCGTGAATGAAGGGACTTTGGTACATAAGGAGCTCGAGAATGACGTGCAGAAAAATACAGTAAATCCAAATATGGGAACCAAATATGATCTTCAAGTGATGAAGGAAAATGTTAGAGTTATGGAGAGGCACTCTGAAATGCTAAAGGAGGCAACAAAGAGGGTAATGATGAAATTGAGAAAGCCATAATACCACAGAAATTAAGTGTAATTGAGACAATCCCCTTGGCTTGCGTCTCAAGCACTAGACATCCAATGCAAATACAGATCAATATACCATCAATTTCTTTTGAGCAGGTGTTATATAATATAATCACACACAAGGTTTTGCATGTGGAAAGTCACAATGCAATGGTGGAACAACAGCAATAACAAGATGAAGGAGATGGCGAGTCTACAACTGGGAATTTCAAAGCAGTACCTAGAGCAGGGGACTTATCACCTAGAATATCAGCTAGAAGTGGTAAGAAAGGTAAGAAACAACCGAATAAAGAATATATGCACCCTACAAGAATCTTGCCCAAACAGGCAGCCTCAATGAATAAATGATGATTAAAATACTGATATGGAACATAAGATCGGTTAAGACGCAACAAGCCTTTTAGAGAGTCATCAATATGAAAAAGGAACATGATTTTCTCATTGTAGCACTGATGGAGCCGTTTCAAAAGACAAGATATATTCAGAAATACATGAGGAGACTAGGTATGGAAAATGCTATATCAAATGTTAATGGGAAAATATGGTTATTCTTAGATGCTATGGTGGAATGGGATCTGTTGATTGATACCGAGCAGCAACTGACCATCAAGGTGTATCATCAGGATATCGGTAACTACATCATAATGACTTTTGTATATGCAAAATGTTCATCATTGGAAAGATTAGAGCTGTGGGACAACCTATATTACCTTGCAAGTAATATGGACTTGCCTTGGATAATCGAGGGAGATTTTAATGTGATTCTTAGTGAAGAGGAGAAGATAGGAGGACTACCAGTACTTCACCCAGAATATGAAGACTTTGATTTTTGTATTAACTCATGTGAATTGTTTGGTCTTGGATATAAAGGCAGCCCCTTCACTTGGTGGAATGGGAGGGCAAATGCAAAGTGTATCTTCAAACATTTGGACATGATATTTGTTAATCAACCTTTCCAAAATCTTTTCCCTAGCATTGAGGTAGAACATTTGATAAGAACTGGTTCAGATCATGCACCATTGTTGATGAATTGTGGAAAAAATGCACCACAATTTGTGAGGCCTTTCAGATTCCTGAATTTCTGGGCAAAACATGATATATTCAAAGATGTAGTTAGGCAGAATTGAATTGCAGACTTCATGGGAGATCCATTCCTGATGTTCAAGCAGAAATTAAAAAGAGTGGAGATTGCACTATCTAAATGGAGTAAGCAGACATTTGGAGATATTTTTAAGCAGCTGGCAATTAGAGAAGATATAGTTAGAATCAAGGAGATATTATCTGAGAAAGAACCAACAATTGAAAACAGAATTGTCCTCCAAAAAGCACAGGCAGAATTGAAGAAATACTTGAGCTTAGAGAAACAATACTGGAAATAAAAGGCAGGTATGACATGGCTTTAAGAAAGGGATAGAAATACTAGTTTCTTTCATAACTATTCCAATGGCAAGAGGCAGAAATTACAACTTAAGAGGATCCAGAATGGAGATGGAGTGTAGATTGAAACTCAGGACCAATTGGCCAAGGCAACAATAGAATTCTACCAAAAACAGTTTAGTCATGAGAGTGATCAGACAAACTTTGATCTTCTGAATAATGTTCCTACTATGGTATCTATGGACAAAAATATGGAACTATGTAGGATGCCTACTGTCACGACCCAAAATCTCACCTGTCGTGATGGCGCCTATCTCAATACTAGGCAAGCCAACAATCTAAATAAACCACCATGTCTTTTAAATTTGAAAACAAAATAATAAAATTCAGCGGAAGAAATCTCACAAATACGAATATAACACTCCCAAAACTCAGTGTCACTGAGTACATGAACATCTAATATAAATACAATGTCTGGCTGATAAAAATCACTATCTGAAAGTATAGAACAGTATAATAACTGAAGGAAAGAGAAACAAGGTCATCGGATGCCAAGCAGCTATCCTGATAGTCTCCAACTGGTAACACCCTGAGGTCTAACAGTCACGGTGTCCGGAAGCACCTGAATCTGTACACAAGGTGCAGAGTGTAGTATGAGTACAACCAACTCAATAAGTAACAAGACTAACCTCTGGGCTGAAAGTAGTGACGAGCTCCGCAGGTACAGTCCAGTATAAATAATGGTACAAAATGTAGGCATGCTTTCAAGTTCAACAGTTAAACTCAGTACAAGTGAAATAGATCAATACTGCATGATATGAGGAATATGACATCCCAATAGAAAGACCTCATGTAAATACTGGTCACAAATTATTCGGTCACTAGGTACAGTTTATGGATAATCCAACCCAGGGATGTTCCAACCCGTATATATATACATATCGACTGATAGTCAGTCACTCAGTACCGTATAAGGCCAATCCAGCCCTGGGGTAATTTATCCCNACCTACTGCAGGTGGGCAATCCTGATTCGTATAATAATAAAGACAATAAGGGCTGTTGCTGGCGGGCAGCACCGATCCATTTAATAATAAAGCCAATAAAGCCTGCTATAGGCGGGCATCCCCGATCCATTTAATAATAAAGCCAATAAGGCCTACTGCGGGCTGGCACCCGCAATCCATAAAATAGTAAAGCCTATAAGGCCTGCTGCAGGCAGGCAGCCCCGATCTATAAAATAGTAATATATAAAACCATTATGGCCTGCTGCGTCGCGCAACTCAATCTCATAAATATCCTCACAATGGATAAATATTACTGAGTGTGAAATGTATATTTTTGAACAATTAATTCAACAACAACAAGACTCCATGGGTCCCAAAATATGGGCATGTAGCCTAAATATGATCTTTATTAGGTGCCTCAACTCAATTTCTCTAAAACATGGAGAAGGTTCAGATAATAACATGATTCATTAATCTTACAACTCCACAGAATTTATTCAAGACACAATTTATATGGTACACGTTCACATGCTCGTCACCTATCGTGTGTGTCACCTTCAAACAATTTATATCATACCAAATTCAGGGATTTATACCCTCAGAACCAAGTTTAGAAGTGTTACTTCCCTCAAACCGTATAATTCTTTACTCTGCTATGCCTTTGCCTTGTGAATTGGCCTCCAAGCACCTCGAATCTAGCCACAATTAATTCGATTCAGTTAATAAAATTTATTGAAATTAATTCCATAAGAAAATGCTAAATTTCTATAAAAATCCGAAATTTAGCTCAAAATTTGCCCGTGGGGACCATGTCTCGAAATCCAATGAAACTCACAAAATCCGACAACCCATCCAATTACAAGTTCAACCATACTAATTTTACTCAAATCCGACTCCGAATCGGTGTTCAAATCTCGAAAATTTATTTTATGAAATTGTAGAAAATTCCTCCGATTTCTCTCAAAAAATCAATATTCTGATGCCGAAAACGAGGATTAATTCATGAAATATAATCACAAAGGAGTCAAGAACACTTACCCAAAGTTGTGTGAAAAAATTCCTCTCCAAAATCGCCCAAACCGAGCTCCAAAATCCGAAAATGGTGAAAAATGGCGAAACCCCGAATTTAAGGCTTCTGCCCAGCGACTTTCGCATCTGCGGTGGAAAAGTCGCATCTGTGACATTCGCTTATGCGGACTAAGCTCGCATCTGTGAAGGTCACTTCTGCATGCGTTGGGCCGCTTCTGCGACTGCCTTGTCGCACCTGCAAGTCCATTTCCGCATGTGCGATCACACCAGAACGAGAAAATTTCCAGCCTTAGCCAAAACTTCCAAAATGCGTTGAACCTCGTCCGAAACTCACCCGAGTCACTCGGGACCTCGTCCCAATATACCAACAAGTTTCATAACATAATACGAACCTACTTCAGGCCTCAAATCATACCTAACAACATCGAAACGACGAATCGCACCTCAAATCAAAATCTATGAAATTTGAACTTTCAAATTCTATATTTTGTGCCGAAACATATCAAATCAATCCGGAATGACTTCAAAATTTTCACACAAGTCATATTTCACATTGCGGACCTATTCCAATTTATAGAATCAGATTCCGACCCCGATATCAAAAAGTCAACCCCTCGGTCAAACTTCCCAAAATTCAACTTTCGTCATTTCAAGCCTTATTCCACTACGGATCTCCAAATAATTTTCTAGACACGCTCCTAAGTCTAAAATTACCATACAAAGCTATTGGAATCATCAAAATTTAAATCCGAGGTCGTTTACACATAAGTCAACATCCGGTCGACTTTTCCAACTTAAACTTTAAGCTTTGGAACTAAGTGTTTCAATTCATTCCAAAACCTCACCGGACCCGAACCAACTAAATCAGTAAGTCATAAAATAACTGTAAAGCATAAATTGAGCAGTAAATGGGAAAATAGGGTTGTAATACTCAAAACGACCGGTCGGGTCGTTACATTCTCCCCCACTTAAACATACGTTCGTCCTCGAACATGCCAAGAGTTATTTCCAAGCCATCAAATCACTATTCCATATTACCACGCACGTACCCGAGGTGATCCCACGCCACCCTATTTTGTATAAATTGTATAGGCCTGACAACACAACATAACTAAAAATCATTAATTTAACCTTACCGCAAAAGCCTTGGAGCCAAATTCCTAACATCCAGAATTCTTTTCAAGACCCGACTCTCACATCTACCCACTATATAAGCCTGAACAAGCTGTATCCAGCCATAACCATAATCCCAGATAGTTCTCAACAAAGGTACGAATAAGATAAATGTCATAACATTATGCTTAACCATTAACTCTAGGAATATCATAGCCTAAACATTTTCCCGACTCTGAATAACTGCCCCGATGCCAGCACATGGGCTCAAACCTCTCTCACACACACACACACACACACACACACACACATATATATATATATATATATATATATATATATATATATATACGCAATCATAGCGCGTAGTCATCACAAAGGCAAATAGTGCCTCCACTGAGTTAAAATAAAATACTCACCTCAAACAGGCCGCAACCCTGAAACAATATGCTTATGAGAACTCCCAGTCTCCAAATTCATCGAACACATGAATCACCATAACTGATCCCAACTCCAGCACTAAAATGACTGACACATCTTCCATTCACGATAATCCCATGAGGAATAATTTCATAATTCTTCCGTGCCACATAGCAATAATTTGAATATCAGCAGTCTATCAACTAGGTGAGTACTGCAATACCGACGAATATCCGTAAGTCAAAACACAACGTGCCTTCTGAAATGCGCACCCTTCTCAGGAATTACCGAGTAGTTATAACATTCATTAAAATATCTGAAACTGACCATGCTGTCCAACATTCATTACCTTCTCTTCAAGACTGAACTGTCACCTTGTATATGTAAATCCTAATCCCGCACAACACACCACATCTATTATGCCATCATGTGATAAGCACAAGAATCCCATTTTCAACTCTCAGTCACTAGTAAATTACATACCCGGTTAGTTAGAAACCTTCCTCTTGCTTCCTTCGAGGAGAAAATCACAATACACAATACGTTTCCCACACCAGTAGAAAGTATCCAGTTCAAACTATGGTAGAAGCCATCAAGAACACTTTGAAGTCCATCTGCACATAACCAAGCTATTAGAACTAAATTCCTCTTACTCGACCAAACTACGTAGGTCACCAAAACCCAAGAATATTTCCACCAAAACATCTGTAGAGTCTCACCACATCACAATTACCCCTATAAATACCACAATCGAAACACCCACTCTGAAAATACCTTATTTGAGTCTAAGGCCGTTTCATTCACCTTCTTGATACTAAAATATAAAATTCATAATGATATACAAAAATGCCACAAGTATCGACACCATCCAACTTAAATCCCAGATTTTAGACATAAACAAATCCGTCAAAAATTCTCAATTGTTACATATTAATCTCGAATCCATTAGAACTTTCTCGAGAGTCACCACCTTTGTTCAAATTCACATTACACCGCCCAAATAGGCCAAAAGACACGTGTCCCATTAGCACAACAACACTCAAAGAAGTAACTCTACTTTATTACCACTATCAAATTCATACTTCGTGCGCACTACATCATTCACAAATAACAACTCACTCATCCTACAATTTTCATATACTCATAAAGCGCAATATAACTCGTATCCAAATATTTTCTTACT